TAACCCAGAGCTGGGAGTTATACTAGGCAGCAAGGCTTGGAAATACTCTCGTTTCCCGTGTCCTGCTGAGCAGACAGTGGCCCTGAAAGTTGAGCAGCTGAGGGTGGTAGTGACAGGAGAGCAGTGGCCACAAGCTTGTGAATTTTCTGAGTGGGTGGGCAGTGTAGCCTTCTGCTTTCTCACTTTCTGGCCCTCTCCTGATCACCACAATATCCAGGCTTATGAGAGTGCTGGAGGGGAAGATGTAATTTCTGAGCAATGATGCTGTTTCGTGGCTTCATGAACAGAGAGGACCTCCAGCTTCGAGGAAACATCTAGCAGCATTAACCCTGAGCTCCTCTCTTTTCTGTGTGGCTCTCCTACTTTGTGGGTCAGAGTCTGCTACTGAGCTTATCTCCAACACCTGGTCTTTAATTCTCTGCTGCAAGTGCCTCTGGATTGTCCTTGTTCAGTTCAAACATGGAGGGGAAGAAAACATTCCTGTCTCTGGGCAGATTCCTCTAAATAATTTTCTTTTCTCTAAGAATTCACAACCAAGATGGCAAGAAGATGTATTCCAGAATGGGAAGAGTTGTTAAGATATGGTTGTCATCGTGGCTTGTGTAACTCTTGATATTCATGACATAGTCATTTCACATGCTTTTACTTAATCGGGAGCGCAAGACTTTTAGCACCAAGTAGTAGTCAGCTGAAAACCGAAGTCCACACCACATTCATACGAGTTAATAATCACACCTTTTGTTCTTTACAGTTACAAATGCTTGCATTTGAATTAGAGTTTCGTTCATCTTGGATTCTTGCTTGATTCCTTGTGAACCCCCATGTTCCAGCCTCAGCATCCTCTGCAGTAGCAGTTGCAGGGGGTGGTGGTTGCACTGCGGGGCCAGCCAGGTTGGTGGGCTCCAAGGGACAGGTCTGTTTAAATGACACAGCTGGATCTGTTGCTCCCAGAAACAAGCAACATGTTCATATAAAACTGGCACCCAAGGAGTGCTGAAATGATCCCTCTGAACTCCTGCTGACGGGTAAAGGTAGCAGGCACAACGGTGACGTGTGGGCAAGATAACCAGCCCAAGGTGGGAAGCGTGCCCTCGTGCTCCTCCAGCTCTCCAAACACGACGAGTGTTACCTTGTGCTGTGTGCGTTCTGCAGCTGCCTGTGTTTTACCTGCTCATACCAGGAATGTTTGCCAGGACTCAGCAGGTGAAGTGGCTTTCCCTGCTGGGCTCTAGATTGCTATCGCCCCTACAGATTTTGCAGGGAAGGTAATTTCTTGTGCGCTGCCATTTTCTAACTGAACTTGCCCTTTGTGATGACTAGGAAGTTTGGGATGAACTGTAATCTCAAGAAGAAGCTCCTTGAGTCAGCAACACACGGGCACATGTGGGCTTCAAGTGAATGAACATCCTTTCGCATCCAGAGGTGTGAACTCGAAGGTCTGGGCCATTTGTGTTGTACTGGGTGCACGTCTCTGCTGACAGCCCTTCCATGCCTGCCCGCCCTCAAGAGCAGCAGCTCTGCTCTCCCGGGGCCTTGTCACCTGCGGATTGCAGGCATGAGGGTGTTGTGGTTTGCATCCCAAACCTGGGATGTGCAGGGCACCTCTGCTGTGCTAATATTGATCCTTTGAATCACACCTAAGTAGAGGCAAAAAAAGTTCCCATCAGAACATCCAGGGTCCCAGTGTGTATTTCAGTAGCTGAGTTTTCCCCTCTACCAGGTGCATCAGGAAGCAGAAAGAAAGGGAAAAACCCCACAAATTGCAGAAGCAAACATCAAATGCACAGAAAAGAAACTCTTTAAACTGGTAATATGTCATACCTCTCATTCTCCTGTTTCAGGCACTTGGACTAAAGAGGTGGGCAAATAAATGCAAACTTTTTTCTGTATTTATTTATTCAGTTTTTTGCTTTGCTTATGTTCTCACCTTTCAGGAATGTACAAGTTATCAGGTCTCACTGCCACAAATGCTTTCAGAAAATGAATTTGAAAGGCCTATGCACAAACGTATGAAGAAATTGAATTGTTTCAGATATTCTCAGGTAGTCATGCCAGAAGTCCTTCTCCACCAGAAAGCAGAAAAAAACATGGGATATTCACTGAGCTGTCCAGTACATATTGAATATCCAATGATATCTGGAAAGCTGACTGGGACCAAGCCACATGTGTGTAAAATTGCTTTAAAATAATTATGAATAACAAATTCAAGAAGTCTGCAGTGTGCTCATGAATATGTCATAAATGAAACAAAAAATGAAAAAAAATTAAAACAAGTATGTGACTTGTAAATTATTCCTTTGGTCCTAGTCATATTTCCTAGCTCAACAGAACAAAATGGGTATAGCTGAAATATAAATAATCTTCAAATAATGCATTTATTTATAATGATTTAGGGAGCAAATGTTAATGGCTTTGTTTCAAGTGTGACTGGAACTATTTCAAATGTTTCCTTTCACAGGGTAGATACTAGAGGCAAGGACCTTCTCTTCTGGTATTAATGCCTATTGCTGCTTTCTTGTTAATTGTGCATCTGATCTGGAACGGCTTAAAGTGATTTAAAGTTGTTCTGTGGGGCGTGGGGGGCAGTCTTCGGGTGTGCAGCAGACAGACCTTCCCGGCTGCAGGTCCTGAGCCACGGGGAGAATGCAAATACCCAATTTCATAGCGGGTTTGTGCCAGGTCTGCCGTGGAAGGCTCCAATTCAAACAGTGTTTATATGCAAGCTCAATATACCTGGAATTTAGGGAACAAATACCTTCTTGCTTTTAAAGCTTTTAGCAAAGCATTAGGAGTGCTTTATAGTGTGATACAAAGTTCAGTGCCAAAACTCAGGATAACAAGTATGTTTGGAAAACATTGAGCCTTGAACTACTCGTTTCTTTATTTATTAAAAAAAAAAAAGAAAAAAGAAAGCAAGCAAAAGTAATTCACATGCAAGTGCATTTGATCCTAGCTGAACCACATCTCTCTCCAGCCGTTGGTTGGACCAGGTCAGGGGATCCATTCATTTGAAGGTTCGTGTTTTAACACATGTGCCAGGCTGTAGTAAATTGAAGGAACATTTCTGTTTGCTTCGGTACCTCTTTAAAGAAGGAGTGTCTGCTGGGGCTGACCGTGGTCCATAATCTCTCCATCTCATCCAGGTTGTGCAAAAAACCAGTAGGCATCCGAAAGACATTAGAGGCGGAGGGATGAGCGGGGTTTATAAATAAGGCAGGGCGGCGTGGCCAGGGCTGGCAGTCTGGCAGCCGGTGCTGGAGTCCTCGGAGCTCATCCCACGCTCCCGCCGAGTCGCTCATCTCTGTTTATATGAGTAATGGAGCGGCTGGGGGAGGGGATTTGTAAAGCACGGAGCAAATACTCTTAGTGTTCATTTTGTGTAAGACTGACATCCACACCAAGTCGAGACTTCCAGCGACGTAGTGTGCAGTCACATGCTGTAGCATTCATGAGTACAGATATAAATCAGGCAGATGTTTGTCGACTGGAATGGGTAATAATTTCTTTCTCTCTTTGTTTGATTTTGCATGTTAGCCTCAGATGACAATTTCAAAATTGCTTTCTGCAGTACTTTTCAATAAGCAGAATGTGCTTCACTGGAGATAAATGGAGATATTTTTATAGGGAGATAAACATATTTTTATATAGACACAAATACAGACTTACACACATATGCACATGCATATATATATATATATATGTATATATATTTTTTTTTCCATGTGCCAGTGCTGGGGGAAGAAAAAGGATGTGTCTTTTGGACTTTTGTTTTTAAACCCATGGTTCTTCTTTTTCTCTGAACAGACCAAATATGACACTGTTACTCAAACTATAAAATCAAATTAGCACCCTTTATTGTGTTTGCAAACTAATTAAAATGTAAAATGTCCTGAAACCACTGGCTTACTGTGTGACAAATGTAAGATTAGAAACAATTAGAAGGCACTCAAGAGGTTTGTGGTGTTTAGATTTCTGACATTGTTCTAATCATCCCTTTAAGTAATGAAAACAATGGTTACCTAGAAATTAAAGGTTTAAAGGAAATTATCTTCTTCGGTACAGTCATTAGTTAATGATTGTTTATCATTTTAAATGTTGCCATAGTAGTCGGAGGCTGATTTTTAAATCTGAAAGCAGGCAGGACACGTAATAATGAGCAAACATCTGCTTCATCTGTTATTTCTCTATGTGATCATAATTTATATTGTAATACCACTATTGAAAGATGAGTCTGATATTTTTTATGATGATCCATATCCCATTCTATGTATGGCTCAGCACAGTGAGGATTTAGTCACTGTGTTATTTCAGAGCTGTTTTATCTTAAGAATTGGACAAAACTGAAAGTGATTCATGTTAATTTATATGTGTGGTATGTAACCCTTATGAAACAATCAATCACTTATTTCAGTACTTGTCAACTTCCAGAACTAGTTGTTAAGGGGTTTTTTTGATCCATTTCAGGGCTCGGGGGTGATTTTCTTTTTTTTTTTTTAACTTTTTTTAGAACTTTCACAAGAATGACAGGATATATAAACATTTCTTGGAGCTGTAAGGAATTTCAATATTTCAGAACATTTCCAAAACCAGATGTTTCCCAAAGTTGGAAATAACAGTTAGTACTCTTACTTGAAAATTAGAAATAATAAATGCAGCAGGCTGATTAATGCAAAATTGCCTATTAATATTCTATTTTGTTCTTTTTTGTACCATGGAGAAATATTTGTGCTTTCTCTCCGAGTCCTTTGGAGACCAGTGTTTGACTTTATATTAATTAGTTATGTGAAAGTAGAATAGATTAGCCTTGGGGGATATTCTATAGAAATGTATAGTGTGTCGAGATGTAACCCATGGAGGATGGGAATCTCATAATAAGCATTTACTGTAGACAGATGTGTACATTTCTGTGACTGATTGTAGAGGAATTATTTATTATGCTTTCAGCTGTTAAGAATCCAGTATAAGACAATGTGCTCAAATTGTTCTCCATTAATTTTCAGCGCCAAATCTTAAAGGCAGACCGCGCAAAAAGAAGCCTTGCCCACAGAGAAGAGATTCATTAAATGGCATTAAGGATTCCAACAATAATTCTGAAAGCAAAGCTGTTGCCAAGGTAAATCACTTAATAATACTCTTTTCAGTACGCTCTCCTTTTTTTAGGTACAGCCCTGCCTTTGTTTCCCAGCATGCTGTTTCAAGTTTAGAATGTAACTTATTTTCTTGGGGAGATGAATGTAATTTTTTTCAGTAGTTTTATTCTTCACTTTAAATCATGTCTGTGTTCAAAGTTACCAGCAACTATAATCAACTAACAACCTAATGCTATCAGCTTTCTGGTAACTGGTAGTGCTTAAGCTTTCTTGGCATCTAGTGTTGATTTTCACATTCTGTGACACACAAACATAGTTTGTGACAGTATCTCTGAATTAAAAATAAACCTGGGAGCAGCTCACCCTGTTACAATGTACTGCTAAATATAAGTTTGAAGATAAACAGACTATGAAACAAGAGCCGCTTCAGTAATGGCTTCTAAGAAGCACACACAAACGACATTACTCTGACGTTAAGATCTCAACTTTTTAATTAAAAAAAAAAAAAAAAAAAGAAGATAAAGGCAGAAGTTCAGTACGAAAGCTTAAAAAAAAAATCTAGGCTGTCTCTTTAATACTTAGTGCTGAGCTGCATGTTCCATGGCTTGTTGAATAGTGCATGCTTTTACAGAGTCTTATGTATGTGCTGCAGTGTTTAGCCCATACTGCAAGTAGAAGCTGGATCGATTTGTGTTTATAGACTTAATCTTTTAGATATTTATGGGTTTGCATCTCTTCCTTAAAATATTTTAAAATGGAGTTTCTGTAGTGTAATTTACATGCTATTTTCTATGTTGTCTGTGTGGTTTAAAATAGGAATTTGGTTTTCTCTTTAAAAAAAAAAAAAAAAAAGCAGCACAAATGGCTCCTTTCAAGATGATTTAATTTGAAACTGTAAGATGCAAAGATGGAAAATTACTTAGAGCAATACTTGTAGATTTTTATCTGAGGCAGAACTTTGTCACTGTGATACTTTTGAGCTAAACAACTAAACAGGTTTGCATAGACTGATGGTTTTTTTTTTAGGCCAACTCCTCCCAAATCCATTGTTTCAATAAATTAGATGGATGTGTATCTGAAAAACGCTTCCATTGCTGTGACCATCTCTTTAGGAAATACGGTGAATCTATAGATCCATTTGCGTTGGTATTGTTGTATGCAGTGAATGTCCTGGGAGATTAGGAGGTTAAAGAGGTCAAGTGGAAGTGTTCTGCTCTCAGTTTCTCATAGGAAGGCAAATTAAATTCCACCTCCTCCTCCTCCCTAGGAGTTCAGTTAAAATTGTGCCTTCTGTTGATGACGATAAAAGAGGCTGAAGTTCATGATGAAGCTCTCCCCTTAAGTCACTGTTTCTCTTCTTTTTGTACCCTATTGTGCTCAGTTGGAGTCTGCACTATCGTATTAGACAGGCATGGTAAAAGGCGATGGAGCCTGGTGTGTTGAGTTGCAGGGTCCTACTAGATACTGTAGAATTTGCCTGTATGTTTTTGCTCTGTAGAAGAACATGCAAAATCCGCAGTGTGAAAGTGTCTCAATTTGCCTCAATTCCCTCTTTCCCCAAACCGTTTTTCATGTTAAAATACTAGCAGCAAACTGCAGCATGGACCGTGTTGTCAAAGCACCCCGGACAGTAGCATGAGTAGTCCTGCCTCTTCAGCACCTGATATATAGGTACTAGAAAATTAAAACCAACAGTAACACTTCATACCAAATTGTTTATCCTCTCTGTTTATATTTGGGTTCACCCTACTAGTCAAATGGGAGGATATTTCAGATAAGAAGTAATTCCGTCTATTTATCTAGTCATACTGTGCTCATCATTGTGCAGATATTAATAGCATTAATTATCTTGGCCAGCTTAATTTCATTATAAATAATAGACATACTCATGATATAATGTCCTTGCATGTAGTTACACTGACTTCACTGTGGCTCTTCCCATCAATCTGTCTCGGGGCTGTGGATATACTTTAATAAGAGGAGGGCAGTGAATCAGCAGAGCTATTGCACTTTGTACAGACCCTGCCTGTGGGTTTCAAGGGAAGGAGGGGAAGTGTATTTGAGGAAGGGGCGAATGGAGATCTTCTCATTGTTGGGAACAGTTGGGGTGTTAAGTCATCATCTTAGGCTCCACGTTGGGCTTCACTATCAGTTTTCCTCCTCTGTCCGTGCTCCATCTCCAACTAACGCTGACAGTGGACCCATGGAGAGCAGGGTTGAACACTGCTAGTGTAAACAGGACAAATCCACTTGTGTCAGATGCTGCAACATTTTGGCAGTGGTCCTGGCTGTATTCCTGTTCCAGCTAAAATCCCTTTCGACCAGAAGTTGTGCTGCTTTCATCCTCAGATCATGGCACTCAGTATCTGACAGCAGCTTCATTTCTCAGGTGGCCGGGTGATGGCTCCGGTGGAGACGTGTTGACTGTACAGTTCGGGTCGGGGAGTGGCAGAAGTATCATTCTGAAGACTGTGGTTTTGAGTATGTCAAGACCAACACAAGCCACATGGTTGTAATGACTTGCTGCATGTCATGTTCTCAGCTGCCAGTGACTAGAAAGCTTTGTATCTTCTTACAACTTAGTTTTCACTAGGCATGTTTACCTTGAACCATCAGCAGATCGTTTTGTAGGCTTTTACTGTTACCTGACACAGAAGAGCATTTGGTTGAGTAGGAGCAGCTCTGAGTAAATTCCAGTGTAGGTGGCTTGTTAAAAATAGAGCAATAGCGGGACAGACAACATGGTCCTGAACCTGCAGGTGCTGCCAGGTGGAATGGGTCTTTCATGTACCTCTTCTTGGTTTTGATCCCCTTGCTGGTCACTTCATCCATTTTAGTACCTCCTGGGGGAGATCCCAGGGGAGTTCCCTCCCAGGCTGGGAATGTACAAATCACAAAAATACGAGGCCATCTACTGAGGCGAGATCCGTTCTCCTGGAGAGGCATATATCAAGCTCTTCTCTCCAGACACTTCTGGGACTCGGGAGACTTTCATACTTCACGTGTCATCAGTGCTGGACGGACCTTTGGGACTTGCAGGCTCCAGCGTGACCCTCATCGTACCTGCTTCATGCTCCCAAAGAGCATTCCCATTCAAATTGTGCGGAATTGCGCTGTAAGGCTTTTTAAAACTGGCTGCTCTGACCATTTCAAAGAGCTGACAGGATTAACTTGTTAAACATGGAAATTGTCCCCAAATGCATCTACTCATTACATCTCCTAGTGCTAATGCTGAAGTAAATCTCTCACTTCATTTCTACAGCAAGATCTGGGAAATTAGTTTAAAAGTTGCCAGGATATGCTTTTCCTGTGGCCACAGGTGGCCTGGCATGCTCTCAGACCTGGAGATTTATTCCGAGCACCTCAGCCATTATTATCTGACTGCAACTTTAAAATGCAGGTCTGTAGCGGTCTGTGTTGTGTGTGACCTCTGGCAGGAGAAGACAAACACGGGTGTACCCATGGGTGTTGACCATGGATCATACACCTCTGATGGAACATGCATCAGGAGGTGGTCAGATGTTCACAGAGCCCATCTCAGTACACCCCAGCTTATCCACACTGCAGGGCCGGGTTGCCTGTCAGGGCCTTAGCCCTTATTTTTATTTTGGAGGTTTTACACACGCTGAGGCTACAAAGGAAGCTTTAACTCCTCCTGTGGAAGCTGAACTCTTGCTTTATAATGGAACCGTTCAGGCTCTCCGAGCAGACCAGAAAAAGAGAGCAGAGCCAAGCAGAGCTCTGCATTCAGGACCTTCCTCCAGATCTTTGCCCTCTAGGAAGATTCAAACTCAATGTTTTGCAAGAGGAGAGCAGTTTGTGGTGCCTGGTGCAATCTGGGATTGCTTTCACTGACTTTGATACGTTTATGCTGGATTTACACCGATGTTACCCAAAATGGCATTTCACCCTTTTGGTTCTCGTTAATCATTGGTCATGGCATTCATCCATATCTCCTGTCAGACAGTGGGGAGGTTCCAAAAGTGAGGCTCTTGCCTTGAATGCTGAGTGCATGAAGCATTGCAGTGTTCGTCAAAGCTTCGTTGAACCTGACACTGCTTGGAGTCCATCCCTTGCGTTCTGGCACTTTCAAGTTCCACTAGCTCCATTGAGTTTTGGATAAAACCCAGGATCTTTACAGAAGTTTAATCAACGAGCGTATCTGTACTAATAGGCAAAGCATGGTGTCTTCTGCCATAGGAAGACACCATCTCTTTGAGTCATCCAACCAGAGAATATTGAGCCGTACAGTGGACATACTTTAGCAGCAAGTGATCAAGAAAAATCCCCCAAGAAGTCCATTTCCCAGTCCCTGCTGCATTGCCTGGGAAGAATGAGTCTGCACCCTGCAGTGTCCAACATGGAGATTTTCAGCAGCATTGATTACCTTGGAGAACTGTGGCCACTTCTCCCCTCTGGTTAGGAGCTGGCATTACTTTGTCCAACATCTGGGGAAAACTGTGGAGGCAGCTAACCTTAAGTCAGTGCTTTCTGCAAAGTTAATACCCGGGAGGAGTATAAAATAAAAGATTTTGCTTTCCCTGAGCCGGAAACATGGGGTAGCTTTATTGAGATAAAATAAGCATATCATAGTCTTTCCGGTGATATGTTTGTTGTTTGTTTACAAGCACTTACATAATGCTCTTCATAGCACTTACATCCAAAATTTCAAGTACCCAGAAAGCACCTGGTTTAGAAGTGAGGAGAGTGAAGGAGAGTCAATGGCTTACTTGACCAAGAGCTCTTGCCTTCCTGTTGAGCGAGATACCCTGCTCTCCTCTGCTGTCCTCCTAAGATACCAAATACTGGCTCTTACAGTCTCCCTACTCCCTCTGGGAGCACAAAGGACATGTTTCGGATGGGTTATGGAGCTCCCAGAAGCCTCACAGCACTCAGAAGCCTTGAAGGGACAGTGCAAATTGAAAATACGATTAACCACCTCCACTACCTTGTGTTAGAGGACTTGCAGTATTTCACTGGAAATGTATTGATCCCGTCTTGGTCATGGAGAGCTTTTAAACATCAGTTTGCAAGGTTCTGCTCTTTTTGTTTTGTGTATACATAAATTACGGGAATGCTCAAGTTGTAATTTGCTTGATTCAATGAGAGAATTATCTTCAGGAGGACTGCAGGATTAAGCTGGTCTCACTGGATATTTTTCCCCATGTTTGAATACTGATGAGAAGTAAAGTGGTTCCAATTTGTTGACTTTGTGACTGGCACACATCTGCCGGGGAGGCCAGTGGGAGACCTGGAGCTCTGGGACCCATGTGCATTGGGGCTGCCAGTGTCTACCAGGAAAGGCTTCGGCTTCCAGCCTCTTCCTTCTGCTAAATACTTAGAGCTGTGCTTAAGTTTAAGCAGATGCTCATACTCACTTGACTTAAGTCCATGCTACAGCATAACCTCCACTCTGTGCGCTGAGGGCTCTGCCTGGGTAAGGCTTGCCAAGGTTTGTGTCTATTTTGGTGGGCCAAAGGAGAGAAAAATGTGTCATTTCAGAGCTGACTGCTGAGCGTTCCTGGAAGGGGCTGAGCACCCTCAGCTCCCAGGGTTGTCTACGGGAGTTGACAATGCTGAGTGTCAATCCTGGAACGAAGGTTATTATTAGACTTGCTAATGGCAAGTGTATGTGAGAGATGGGAGCTGTCTGTGACATAGCAATGTATAGTCATAAAAATGCAGATCTGGAGAGCATTACCAATGGGTTATAATGATTTAAAGATGTGGCTATTTAAAAATGTTGTGACTAAGATTCAGAACAAGACATTTAGCTCTATAAATAGCTTCCTTTGTTTCCCCTCAAACACAGTTGCATGGTTTGGCCTTCATTTTTTCAACAATCCATGCTGCTAGGAGAGGGTATTTATTTCTTAAGTGAAAATTAAAGATTACCCAGATCTGATATGACATCTTTTCTTTTCCCAGGTAAAATGTGAGGCTAAGTCAGCTTTGCCCAAACCCAAGAGTAACAACAGCAACTGTAAAAAAGGCTCAAGTGAGGATAAATCAAAGATTGCCGTAGGTGAAGAATGCAGAGCTGATGAGCAGGCTTTCCTTGTGGCTCTTTATAAATATATGAAAGAAAGGAAAACACCAATTGAACGAATACCCTATTTAGGTTTTAAGCAGAGTAAGTATCCTTTTTCTCACTTTCTTGTTGACATTTTAGAATGGTTTGGCTTCTCTGGAGAAAGCATTTGCACATGAAGACTATTTTAAATCCTTATGGATGGGGGGACCATGTTTATATCTACAGATTTTCCAGTCCAGGCATTTCACTGTCTTGTGCCTAGATTTGCATCTCTTCCTTCTGGGGTAGTTGCTGCCAGATATTTATAGGTTTAAATCCGCTGATTATGACTAGAAATAGGCATGTTGAAAACTCTCAAGTTTTCTGTTTTGTAAATCTGCAGCGTCTGTAATGCCTTTCTTCTGAGTTAATAATATGACGTATCTTTATTGTGCCCAGATGTTCTGTATGAAAGGACAAATATTAAAGGAAGACATTTAAAGGTGGTCAAGAAAGGCACAAAAGGGATCGTATTTTTAAGCCCCAAAATGTGTTTATAGTTAATAAATTACTGACTTCGGAGAATATAAAACCAGACAGTATCTGTTTAATACAGAATGCAATGTTTAGAATTGCTTTGGCATGTACAGTTTGTAGTGCCACAATCTGTAAAGCAATTGTAGGTGGAGAAGATACAGTTGTAACTAAATTTTACATAAATATTGCGGCGCAATGTAGATCTTTCAGAGTTTCCAACAAAAGCTGTAAATGGTGGTATTTTTCCTCCTTATCTATAAATTGAATGATACTTTATTTCCTTAAAGGGAAAACTCCATGGATTGAAATATTATTTACTCTAATTTATCTCCCGGATTAAAACCATGTGTTATTTTGATGAAGAATGTCAAACCTGTATGTTTTACATAACAATTTACATACCTAATAGCAATTGGCACTGATTGCAACAGGCCTCCAGCAGCCATTATAAACTTATATAACTCCGAATGATTACAGTGTTTGTCTGAAAACTGGCTGCTTGAAATGGAAGTAAAATTAATGTACTATGAACAGCTTCGTTGCATTATGCATTGATTTAGATTAAATCTAGGCCTAAGCAAAGCTCTTGATAGCTTTGAAACAGTACAAGATTCAATGAGGCTTTCAGAACGTTTTGTGTTGAAGAGAGGATTTACCCCCACCCACCCCCACCCCCATTTTATTCTGCATTTCTTCAAGCATGGGGACAGGGTGGGCTTGAAAGACAAGCTAAAGTATTATTTCTAAAATTTCCCACTGGGGGTAGAGCCCTCTGCTAACATTTAACTGAAATAAACTGAAAGTTGCCTGACATTCATTATAAATTAGGGGCCTGATCCGGCAAATACTTAAATGCCAAGAGTAAGTATGCTGAGAAGAGCAGATATGTTTGCAGGATGGGACTGTGTGTTTGTCCAGCAAGACTTGTGCAAACATGGACAATATAAATAGGTTAGTGAGAAGAAGCAGTGTGTACACTACAACAGAGCATCCCCCCCATGGAGGAGGAGATCCTCACCTCTGTGGTCCACAGCGTTATTGCTGAGTCTAGCCTGAAGTATTTGTAGTATGTCTATGGGGGATCATTATTTGGTGGTGGAATAGTGCATACACCCTTCATAAAGCTAAGACATCAATTTTTCTTCTAGCAATTAAAATAAGATAAAATAAAGATTAAAATAAAGTAAAAATAAATACATGAAATAAAGTGAGACATCAGCAGCCATGGAACAGTAGGCCAGGATGAAAAGCGTGTGAGAGAGGATGAGTTCTGCGGGAAGCATCTCCCAGCACATCTTTGGAATTGAGTTGCCTCTGTTCCTCCGACCCCACAGCTGTGGGCAAGACACAACCACCCATACCATAATTATTATGGTAATTTTCATTTGTGCTCCCTCTGGGTTCATTCACACATGACCTGTTAGAACAGAGCTTATTGTTTATTGATTATGGAGGCCATTATCTGAGCTGCAGTAAATATTGGATATTGTTGTTTAATCAATAGGCTTTCTCTGGGAGCCGGTATGTGGCTCATGCTTGCTTGGTAATGAAATCAGGATTAAACAAACAATTAAAAGCAACATTCTTCCCAATAAGTAATTTTTGTTATCAAAGTTATGGAAACATGCTAAGTCATTATACTGTGCCTCTTATCAGCAAAGTCAAATGAGCCCATTACCTTTGTCTCAGTGTATTTTTCCAGTCCTGTTAAGGAATCTAAGTGTGTTCTCTTATATGTAATTAAAAATATATATAGTATGGGCTAATATTTACTCTTGAGATTATGTAAATACCTCTTTGGAAAATGTTCCACAGGAGCTTTTTCAGGGGCTGTGAGCTTTTTTTCTCTATTTTTCTTTTTTAAAAACTGTTTATTTTACATTTCTTTGAAATATGTTGGTTAATGCAATGCTTATCTAAATACTTATTGTCCCTCTAACAGTTAACCTTTGGACTATGTTTCAAGCTGCTCAAAAACTGGGAGGATATGAAACAGTAAGTGTTTAAGTAACTTAAATGAAATAATTGTGCAATCTAACTTTTCCCTGTTAGAAAAAAAAAAATGTAAAAGCAAACAATCATTTGCTGCATTTTAGGCTAGCTGTACACATTGTGGGTTTATTGGACCATTTTTGGAAACGGTCCCAATTAGTTCCAGGTTTGGCAAAATTGTAAACTTGTCGTAAAAACTACAAGTGGAAAACATATGTAACTCTTCCCTGTCAAGGAAATTAGTTGGGTCTGTAATTTTTTCCCATGTTGAGAAAGGGCTATTATTGTACAACAAGCCAAGATTGCATAAAAGAAATTTCACTTGGCAACATCCCTGACATCTGTTCATGTCTAATATGGGAAATGTATTAAAGGCTTTCAAAAGTAATCAGCATTGTCCATTAAGGAATAGTATGCTGCAGTATCTTCTCTTATTCCAAGTGTAAAAGATCTTTATTAGACAAGGGTCAGTACCACATAAACAGGAAGTTATCAAAGTAATTCAGAAAAGTCTCTGACACTTTTTATCAGCTAACCATATCTGACAAGAGCAGTTTATTTTTAGCTCACAGGAAAATTTGATGGCCATGGATTTTACAGCATGTATTTTGAACCAATAAAATATTAGAGCAACAAACTTAGATTAAAATCTTGAAACGAGAAGAAAGAGCTGCATTAATATGGCACATCGAGATGACATCTGTAATAAAAACCAATTGACATAGGAAGATGTCGTCATTGGAAATATTTCTTTGCACACAATGATCAGATTAAGTTGTTCAGTTCCTGCCGCACTTGGAGGAAAGAAATTATTTTTGCTTTGTTTACGAAGTAATCTGGGACATATCTGTGCTGTAGAGAAATTACAAGAAGAAATGCACTATCAAGAAACTGAACGTCATTTGAATCAAAATTCAAAACTCACCGTTTTCCTTCCATAACAATAAAGCATATTGTTCTGCAAATCAGCAACCTGGGTTGATCAGCATGGGTGTGGCTGGGATTTTGTGAAACATGATCTAACATTCTTAACAAAAATACATGCTTGATTTGGCTTTTATTGTTCCTCTATCTTTCATTAATCAGCACAGAGAATGCTTATGTACAGGGGTGTGTGTAGGTGTGCTCATGGGTTTATATGAATGAATAGCTACCCTAGATCGTTACAGCAATTATGAGCCAACAGTAATTGCCGTAAGTTGTAAAGTGCAATGAAAATGAGGCCTAAAATTTTGAACTTGATCCAGAGCACCAGGGAAGGCCGGGAGGGAGATTGAAAGAGTGGCGTGCTCAGTGCTCAGGGAGGCAGGAGATTGTCACCGCAACGTTTCATATCTACTCGAAGGGACTGAGTATGGAAGCAGGGATGCTGAAGTGATGGAGAGAGATGAGTTTTAGTGCCAGAATGAGAGGGAGAGGCCTGGATTTAGAGGTGCTGGAGCAGGTGAACCTCTGTGCATGGGGCAGAGCAGGAATAGGATGGTGAGTTTGTGAACACAAGACCAGAGAGCCAGGTCTACCAACAGGAGCAGAAACGTGAGAGGATCAGAGGAGGAGGATCACGTACATGAGAATGTCATCCAGGGTAGCATCAGTCTACCCTTGTCTCAAAGCCCCTGTCCTTTTCTCAGTGACAGATGTTCTGTGTTGTTTAGGGGCATTTGTCACCTTTGATGAAAACGTACCATTTCGTCATTGGTGCTTATTTTTCATAGAGAAGAAGCTAAGAGAGTGCTGCCTGGTCGGTAAATGTCAAGGCAGGCATAGCTCACACCCTCTGACGTACTGGGAGTGCAGCTTTGGTTTGAGAGTGACTCTGGGCTGCAGTGATGGCCCTGATCCTCTTCTTGTGATGTGAGTGGCACCTGTGCTCTCTGCAGAAGAGCTGAAATTGGAAGGGGCATTGTGATGCAGTTTAAGTTGCACGTGGAGCATGAGGTTGCCTGCCCTCATTCTCTTCTGTTAACAGTCTTATCCTTAATATGGATCTGCCCTTGCTTCACATTCCCTGAAAGCTAAACCAATCGCTGTTGCAGTACTTTGACCTGTGCACACCCTGGGTTTTATTATTTTATTGCCAGTTGATATTCATTGAGTTTGCCAAGCTGCGTTTGTTTCTGTATATTTTATCATGGTGAGCATTGCTGAGAGGCTTTTGTGTTTGATTCATGTTTCATTCTTCAGCAAGGCAGTGGATGACTGGGGTGACATGGACTTCAGTATCAGTTCCAGAATCTTAGGCAGGTCTGTTTAGATTGAGTGAGTGTTGTAACTCAGTATTGACCAGAATCCAACACTCACATGCACAGTGCCAATATCTATTGATGATAAGTCATGTGCAGAGCAAAGGCTTTCTCAAACCTACCCTGTTTAATACACATTTATTTATATGGACCCTTCCATCTGACTTGATTCAAGTCATGTGTCCATTATAAGGGCTTCATCATCTTTAACTTGTTTTAAAATTTCACAAGTTTCTGGTTAGTGCATTGAGATAAAAATGGATCTTTTCTCTTGGAAGTATTATAAAAAAAATATTTAAAAGTAGACAGTTGGCTTCAGCGTGTGACAGCCATTTATGAAGAGGAAACAAAAGTTGGTTAAAATCACATATGAGAACTTAGAGTGGTCAGATGACTTGTTTTTTACTAGTAAGTGTAGAAACCTTCCCAGTTAAAGGAGCTGCAAACTTCACATCCTTGTGTTTGGCAGAACAATGATAGCCAGCCCAATTGCAGTTTCATCCCCTGCCCTGTCCACCTTGTCCATGTATAGATGCTTCCGTGCGGCTTGAAAAACATCTTTGAGAAACAAGCAGAGATCATGTATGGTGTTTCCCAGCTTCTGCCCAGATTCACAGAACAATACAAGACCTCCAAGTCCAGTCCTGTTGGTTAAGGCTCTAAATGTGAATGAAATCAGCCAGGGATTGCATTTGAGATGCAGAGAACAACCTTCTTAGCCATCTGCCTGACTTTCCTTTATTGTCATGTGTCAGGGGCTGGCATGGATCCAGTCAGGCTTGACAGAGTGTATTACCTGTACATATGGGATATCTAGTAGTGTCAAGTCATGATTTTGTGTCGTATCTCATATTTTAAGAGCTCTCCAGTTAGAGTGCTTGTGACGGTTATTTCTCATCTCTCTGATAGCTGTTTGATTACTAATTCTTAGTTAGTTGTCATCTGTGACTGTGTAATAACACACTCCCATGTACTTCTTGTTGGACATAATACAGGCTTAATAAAAATAGTAACCTGTACAAATTGGTTTAAGTCCTTAACAGATGAAGCTGTCTCTTTGGAATTGGTGGAATCATGTTTCTCTTAAACAAAGATACACGAAATGAACATCTTTGTTACTAATAATAGGAGAATGCATTGGAAAGCGCTCGTATAGCAGACCTTCACAGTGTGAAAGATTTAAAATGTCCCCAAATCCCTGGATTAAATACAAAACAATGTCACATTCTAGGGGGCTCAGCTGTGGTGGCATTTAACAGCCGTTGCCTGGAATTTTCTCAGTCACCCTAAGTCAAGTGAGTAAAAGGTACAGATGTTCATAGATGGGAAACTTCCAGGACTCAGCTAAAGAGTTGTCCTTGGCAAGTCATGAAATGGCATTTTGCCTTTTAAGCCAACACCAAAGGAGTGCCTTGGCATGTTTGCAGAAGGCTGTGGTGCTGAATGGACTCAACCTGGAGATGTCTTAGAAAGATAAAGGGTAAAAAGAAAATTAGGTGGAGCTTAACCTTTGGTGTGTAGCGGCTTAAATTTTGCCAGAGGTCGGTGGGATCCTGTTTAGCTCGTGCCTCTTGGAAGCAACAACAATGTGCTTTAGTTTTTAAAAATTAATGACTGACATGTACAGCAGTCCTGTGTCTGGGCAGGCCCAAAGAAACTGATATATCACTGGAATGCAAAGCTACCTGGATTTGTTTCCTACAGAGCTAATACCCAGAGCTCTGTTTTGAAGAGCATTGTGAACATCACATACCATGACCAGAAAATCCCCCATTAGATTTGCAACAGGAAGAAGATTTGCAAGAAGCTATTTCATGAGGAAGGGAGCTGGGAGCTGGGATTGCAGTGCAGAAGACCTTAAGATTTCTCAGAGCAAAAGACACCATTAAAAGCATGTGTATAAACAGTCCTTTACTTCAGTAGATAAGATCACTGGGTTTATTTGGTTGTTCTTGAGTACTAGTCACTGTCTAATACTGTACTTAGAGGAACCAGATCAGATCTGCTCTCAGGTCCCCGGGCAGACCAGTCTCTTGCTTAACTCCAAATTTTGCTGATTGGGAAAGATGTCACGGAGTTTTTCAAAGCTCTTGACTTCCAGTGGGTCCAGCTCTAGGATTGTGAAGCTGTAGGTTGGAGCAAATTGTGAGAGGGGTCTGAAAACCAGAAGACTATGGGAAGCTATCAGAGATGAGACTGGCCTGTGCGATTGCCTTGATTGATGGGTGGGCTGGGAGCGTCCTGCACTTTTAGAATGTGGCAGGCACTGGGAGGGGTAGGAGCAGGGAAAAACAAATTGGAGAACTAAACAGCAAAAGTGCTTTGTCTTCTGTATGATTTCTACTGGAACAGGTCAATTTACATCAGGAAGCTGAAGCTTAATTAGTCAAAAGTGTGAAATGAAAGCGCTCAGGACATTTGTTAAAGCTTTTGTAGGATCTTGGTTTTCTTACGCCACTATAGCTCCACGCCCTTAAAAAACCTCCAACACTTTGCTCCTGAATGTTTATGGGCAATTCCCTGCCCAGGCAGCTAAAATATTTTACCATTTTCATACCTTTTGTTAGTCTGCCTTTTCGTTCCTCAGGTGCCCAATCCTGGGCATGTTACCAATTGGGTGTATGAGCCCTTTCAGAGTTAAAACCACTGTGTAAAAGCAGCCAAGGCAGGCATTTTTGGTAGGAACAGCAAAGCATTGCCAAGCACTGCCCTTTCCTGGCTTCTCAGGAAGTTCCCAGTCACTGAGGTGGCTGGGAGGGACTTTTTATGAGAAAAGCAAGCAGTCCTCCATTTGGATATGGCCAGCTCGAGCAGTGCTGCTCTGCGTGACAACTGTGAAGTTTCCACAGTGCAGCATTTTGTTCAGATTGTTTGAGGATGTAATTTATCAGTCACTTTAGTCCTTTGAAGTTTATTAAGCATAAAAACTAAACTTTCCAGAGCAGGGGAAAACTCAACCCCAGGCTTTGTTAGAATAACAATTGTTTCAGGGGGTAGAGAATTTAAACTTAGCTCTGTACGTGGGAGGGTGCAGCCCTGCTAATTGCTGAGGGGTTCTGGTCAGGGCAGAATTGGATAAAGCTGGGCAAATGTTTCTGTAAATACTATTATTGTAAGCAGCACAGAGGAAAGAGACACCAAAAATGATAACAAGGATTTCAGATTTTCCCCTTAAAGTTGGTTGTATTTACTGGTGCTCCAGCTTGAGTATCAATTCTTGAGTCAGCTCATAGTTAATGAGACTTGGGCTCTAAGGTTAACATTTTCCTGTTGAAAATGGAGACCATACTTCTTAGTCACATCGGGATGTTTAAAAAGGGGACCTGCAGTAGTCCTCTTGCTGACCAATCCTTTGCTTTCATTTATAACTTCTGTTCAGCATCACTGTGCTTAGCCAAAGCATCAGGTCCTGGCCCACAGCCTTGCAAGCCAGCCAGGCTGTGCTTGCCAGAGGGCCAGAGCACGGACCCCAGACTGGCTTTGTGCATCTTTGTTCCCCTAGTCTGTGAGGCTGCCAGAGACTTAATTTAATATAAAGCCACTTGCAGCAGTCCTCGGGGGGGATCTGTGATTTTGGGGGGCTACCAGAAGGCAAGGGCTGTCTGGCCATGCCTCCGCCCTTTGCCTTCCACCCAAGGACTGGTGGAATGGGTGTGGGAGGGAGGACCAGAGGTAGCTTCCCATCCAGGCATTCCTCCACAGCAGGGTACTTGGTCCAGCTCTTTTCTTGACCTTTCAGGTTGCAGAATTCTCAAGAGGTGATGTTCTTTATGGCTCGTTAGGACTCTCCAGTTCTTCAAGCCCTTTAGTAGTAATAATAGGTAGAAATGTGGGTAGCCTGTGGAAGAGACAGCATAAGAACTTAAACAAAACAGACTTAAAATGAACCTTATCCTCAGATGAGTGTTTGATTTGTATTTAAATAATTCATTTGTGCAGAATTTATCTTTGAATTGCAGTCCCTGTCCTGTGCCTGTGGTCTTTGAGTTGGTTACAGAAGACAGAAAATAAAATTAGTGAATGCAGTCCGTCCATTTTGCTTTAAATGAGGTTTAAGATAAAATACGCCTTTTTTTTAATCAAGTATCTATAGATGCAAACTCTGTACAGATACTAATAATGAGCTGGAGATGCTGATGTTTTCTAAGGAGAACTGTACAAACAATAAACTTGAAAAAATTGTAACATTATCAAATGATAAGTCTCCAGCCATGCTTTTGGCTTTGGAGAAGAATTTCTGCAAAGGAAGGATTTTCCTTTTATATTCAGCAAAAAAGAAACACCTCTTACCCTGTATTATTTAATGACAGCAGCTATCTCCTCTTGTTTAGATTAAAATTACAGGCCTCAGATTACAAGTTGTAATATTTGTTTTCTTCTGATTGCTGCCTTTAGCTCCTCAGTAAACGCCATTGACTGCTCTGTGGGTAACTCCGAAGAAGCCTCCAGGGCTGAATATATTAAAATCCGCAGCATTCCACACAAAATGACAAAATTCTCCCCAAATTGCCCCCACAATTTTCCACTGGCCTCCTTTATGAGCTTCAGGCAAAAGAGGGGTTATCTGTTGTGCTTGTCCTATTCCTGTTTTTCTTCCTGTTTTAAATATAGCAGAATATATAAAATAATGAAGTGGTATTCAGGAACAATTCTTTTGCCAGGTCTTCCATCTGTTATTCTGTATAATCCTAATTTCTGTACAAAAAAAAAACAGAGCCATGGTATGCAATTCAATATGTTACAAGATGTTTATTTTCATCAGCGTGGTCCAATAAAGTACATAGCTCAAATATTAACATTGGAGTATGTTAAAATTTCATTACTATTTGATCTATATATTTTACTGACATAAATGGATAAAAATAAACAGCTTGTAACATATAGAGTTACGGACTATGCTTTTGTGGATTTACAGAATTCTGTGGTGGATTTGGGTTTTGCAGCAGATTTATTTTCTCTAATTCAGTTAAAATAACTATGTAATCATTATTTGTGCTGAGTATGGTTTGAGCTTCATTTTCATAATTCACCGTGGGATTTGTCTGCATAACTTCTGATGGTTAATGACCCTATATTGATTGAAATTCTCTTTTGTGAGGCCATATTGCTTGTGACTTGATAATGAATCAGTCAGATCACTCCATTTTAGAGAGAAAGAAAATAGACATAGTGTTAACTTACAAAAAAAAAAAAAGACACCCAAAGCTCTGTGCACTCAATATATTCTGTAGGGGCTTTTATAGTGCTTGTAGTACATGCTGTTCTGAAAGTGTCACACATGCATTTGTTGTTGTGAACTCAAACACTGTAGAATCTGTAAAGATGCAAGATTAAATTTTCCATTGCCATTTTTACAGATAACAGCCCGTCGACAATGGAAACATATTTATGATGAATTAGGTGGTAACCCTGGAAGCACAAGTGCTGCTACATGTACTCGCAGACATTATGAAAGGTAAGATAACAAATCTGAAATGCTTGTTTAATAATGAAAAAATTAATTTGGAGAGCCTTCAAAGCGTTTTATAAAGAATTAAAGAAAGAGAGAGAGAGGCTTCTTAAAGATATAGTAAATATTCCCCCAACAGTTTAGTCAGATAATCTATTGTAATTTAAACCAGAGTGTATGTCTCCAGTGACTAAATAAATAAAACAAGCATCTGATTTTTCGTTGGTACATATCTTAATTTTTACAACAGCTTTCTGGTTAAAGAAGCTGAAAAAATGAGCAAAACATACTTAAGGAAAAAATAAGAAATGACAGCTAATTGATGCAAACAGTTGTTTTCTGTCGTTTTTTAGGAATACCAATTAAGCAAATTGTGGTTGTGATCAAAATAATGGGGTGGCCCACAATGCAGGGTGCTGTTAATGTTGTAGGTCATGCAGAGCGTTGCATTCCTCTTCTTCATTGCATTCCTTCCCTCCTCCCTGCCTGCGAGCTGCTGCCAAACACTCTTTCTCTGCAGCCATTGTTGCTGGTCAGAACTGTTGATTTCTTATTCTTCCCATGTAGATAATAACTTCCAGGGCTTGTGAAGCCAGCACGCATTGAATAAAATACTGGAGCTGGAATGTTGTTTTGGTTTGATATGGTTTTTAGAAACAACTCTTTTTTTTTTTTTTTTTTTTTTTTTTTTTTTTTTTTTTTTTTTTTCCTTAGACAAGCAAATGTTAATAAAAGCTTTACAATTTCAGGCTCAGATATAGAAAGTCCAGTTTCTTGTTTGTGAGCACAAGCAAGTTACTTTGTTGGGGTCAGGAAGAGATTGTACTTGCCTGTGCACAAGGTGGCACAGCAGAGTTGTGCTTAGTGGGCGCTTTTTCACCGTCTGTTAGTGCCTTACGTGTTGGCTACTCCAAGGGAGATGCTGCCTTCCTCATGGAGGGGGAGGTTGATCACCCTTATTTACAGGAGACATCTCCAACATAAGGACTCGGGTGCACAAAGACATTGCACGTAGTGCCACTAGAAGAGTGAAGAGTTAGAAGCTTTCTGGAGATTGAGCCAAGCAGCAGAGCAAATGGAATGAGTTGCTGTGTGTGTTAGACGGGGCTTTTCCCTGCCTTTGCACTGTGGACAAATGCTGTAGATTGTTTTAATTGACTTACCAAATTGTGGGTATTCGGCTCTCTTCCCCTCCATCGTTACAACCCTGAGCGTCTCAGGGCTTCCTCTTACACCAAAGCCAGCTGATGGGTTTCAAACTGGCAGTCTGGGTCTTCCCTCACCAGATGTGCTTTATAGGATGTTGTTTATTTGACAGAGGAGACCCAGGCACGCATGAGAGTTAGGTCTCTGCGGGCTTAGGTTTCACAAGCAGCAAGCATTGCTGGGCTCTGTGTTGAAATCCTAGAGTCACCGAGAGAGTGCGTCTCTTGTAGTTGTGGAAAAATAAATGAGCCATTCACAAATACTCCATGAACCCCTGTCTCTCTCTCTTCTGTGTTCATGCTAGTGGTTTATTTTTTTACACTGAAAACCCTTGAATTGCACTCCTCTTCGATGCATAGACTCGTCCTTGTGACTTACTCAGCAGTTACTCAGGGGTATGCTATGAAGTGCCACAAGGCTCATTGTGCTCACTAGAAAACCTGAGCAGACTCACGATGCTATCAAGTTTGAAAAGCCTTTCCAGGCTACCCAAAAGAAGCTCTGCTTGCCTTGAGCCAGTCTGAGGAAAAAGCCTTTTAGTTTATGGTTAGATTGCTCTTAGCACACCAAAATGCTCGTCTGAGTCCTTGGATGCCAGTCTATTGTGTAGTTTGGGTTAGGTCTGATATGAGGCACACCTATTTTCCAGGTCTCTGGCAGGCTGTCAAAAGATGGCATTTGGAGAAAAAGTCTTGCAGGATTTTTAGATTAGCCCTGAGCTTACCTAAAATATGCTTTACCAAGTGTGGTTTGGAAAACCAAAACACATACAAAAACCAACAGTGACTGATCAAATCTCTAGATTTCTAGTGTTAGCCACTTTTTTTTTCCACCACAGGAAAGCTGTATTAAGCCTCAGACTTGGAAAAAAGTGAATGAAATTGTCATGGTTTGTTTCAGCTGGTAATTCTAACTACAGCACCTGTAAATGTAATGCTCATTTATAGCCAAAGTGCTCAGATGACATCTAATCTAAAACTAGAACTGCAGCGCAGGAATACACGTTCATGATTCAGGACACACATACATTTTCTAACTTGAAGGTGAGCTGTAAAGCTAAACTGGAAATTGAATTAAGCTGGGAAGTAAATGCTGAATAAACCTCATGATTTTTCCTTTCTGAATCCCACTGGCCTTTTCTTTCTTACTGGAGGCAGATCAGGCAGTTCCTGATCCTGCTGCTGTTTGACTTGGGCTTGCCATTCATCTCTACAACTAGATCTCAAGGGCATCCATGTTATGTTAACTAGCTTTCTTCCGAGATGACAGAGAAGCTACTAGCTGTTTGCACTGGCTTCAACATATCAAGGCTGCTTAGGTGATGGTGACCTTTCGGTGACATCCTTATGATGCTGAGGAGTGGAATGGCATGGATGTCCCATTCAGGTACTGCATCCCACCTTCCTGCCCTCCCCAAGGTCGCCTCTGCGAGGTGGAGTTTCACACACAACTTCAAAAGACAAAAAGAAAAAAACAACAACAACAAAAGCCACACAACAGAGAAAAACAAACAAACAAAAAAAGACCAGCCAAAAAATGGAGAGGGCAGAATTTCCTCTCTGTCTAGCGAATCCCGTGAAGAAATGTTGCTTTTCTCAAGAAGTGTTTATAACCTCTGCAAAGCCAGCATGTTGCTGCAGACCCGTGGTACCAAGGATGGCAAAAGCTGAAACAAAGCCAGATTTAAAGGCTGTGGGGAATGCGTTCCTCCCCTCTCCGTGCCTCCCTGTTTGGAGCAGGGGTTGTGGTGGTTGCTGCTGCTGCGCTGTAAGTAGACAGAGTGCTTCAGTTGGTGTGGTGTTTGCTTTGTTTCCCTGGTAAAAGGGAAAGAAAGATTTTGTGTGCATTATCAACTGATTCATTTTTCATGTAGTATGGTTTTGTGTTTCCAGTAACTGGTTTCATTTTAAAACAAGGCGAGGCTGCCAGTGTTTCAGTAAGTGTTATTTGTATATTAGTTAGACAACTTTTGTTTTATTAATGAGCATAATAATGAAAGTGCAGGTTGCTGAGTAGAAGCAATGGGTGTTTTTATTTAAAGCATAGCAGGCATCGTATAATGCCAATGAATGCGTTATTGTCACTGTAGGCATGGCTGGTCTGAACCTGCCTCTGATTGGGTTATTCCAAATAGGCCCAAGCACTTCATAAAAATGTCTTTGTCAGCCTAGTTTTCCTTCCAAACCTATTCATCTCTGTCAGTTTTTAATATTAGTACCAGGCTCTTGGCTATAGTCCATTAGTACTGTACTTAATTGCTCATGTTACAGATGATTACCAATATAAAAAGCATTAATGTTTTCCCATTGTGGGGCTGTTGCTCTGTGCACAACTCGGACCGTACAGAGCTTATGAGTTGTTGTTGTTTTGGTCATTACTTTCTTCATTTGTGCTCCTTTAATGCACTTACCTTGCATGATCACAGAGAGCTAGAGGTGTGCGTGGTTGATAGGAGCTGATTCAGCCTGAACCTTTCCTGTGAAACTCTTACAGCCCTTGTCAATACCCTACATCTCTCTCTCTTATCAAGAAACCCTCAGAAACGGCTACTTTTCTGCAAAGTACTCTTCTCCGGGCTGCCTTCCCCTATAATGTAGATGTGGTTTTCACATGCAGGGTTTGAGGTTTCTTTCGCTTTTACACAAAACACATGATCGGCAGCTTTAGTTTTCCGGTGTGAATGATAGGTGGTGTTTCTGCAGTGCTGATGATGTTGTTAGGGATTTTTCATAAATATTACACCACCACCACCCCAAAAAAAAAAAAAAAAGACCAAAACAAAACATCAAACCAAAAAGCCCAACCTGCTATTATGCAAGGTATATAAAGATCCCAATAAAATGCGTTGAACAAAACAAAAATACAAGCAATTGCCTGTTGGGGCCTTTTCTGCCTCCGAGTCTGGCTGTGGTTCATCTTGGTTTCCTCCAAAGCAAGCCTTGTGCACGAGCTGTGCACGAACACGCTCAGACCCCACGGGGAACCGTGGTGTGCAACGGCACGCAGTAACACTCCTTGGCTGCTTGGGTGGACAGACGTGTCGGTGTTCAGAGGTGTCAGGGCAGGCAGCTGGACAGTCCCATAGAGCAGTAGCCCTCCCGGCATCTCTGGGTGCTGCTTCGGGGAGCCCGGTTCCCTTAGCATCTCCAGCAGGGATGGACCCAGAGCATCCCACAGGCTGTGTCCTGCCCTTCAGCAGTGTGTCTCATATCCTGGAACTCGCGAGTCACTAGCACCTTGAAAACCTGTCAAACGCAGCTGGAGGGGGGTTTAGTAGGCTTCAGACTCTCATCAAATTCAGACAGCTGAGTGAGAAAGAGTTCTGCAGAGCCATAACCACCCAGGACTTGATGAGGAGCAGGTAGGTGAGATGGGTCCCCAGGGCGGGTTGTGGTTCTTCACAGTCTGGCAGGGTGGCTGTGCCCGCATTTTGGACACAGGCCTGCTGAGGGGTTTATTCCAGCTGTGACTGTGGCCCCTGGGCACTTGTAGAGCACTTTGCACATCTGTCCCTTACCAGAGGACTAAATCCCGGGAGTGTCTTGTACAGTTCAGAGCCCGTTCTGCTATTTTTTTCTAAATCGCTCACATAAATATTCTATATTATCAGAAACACAAGGCGGGTCAAAATAAGTCCCTTACATGGTTTCCCTTTAACAGCCGTAAAGTCTCTCTAGCCTAAGGATATTGTGCAGTAATTCAATATGCAAGAGAGCCCCACGTTCCATGCAAATGCTGTTTGGTTTTGTGAAAGCGTTTGGATAACTTAGGTAACGTGCAAGCATTTCAGTGGAGTTTTG